CCAGAGATGCCTAATGCTTGACTACCTGTCCTTAGAGCTTGTCTGCCTCTCTTTTCCTCTCCTCCAATCTAGCTACCAGTGTTCAAGCTGCTCCATCCCTCCTTTGACTTTTACGCTAACCCTCCTAATCAGCCTTTCTCCCTGCCTCCAGTTCTTTCTCCACATTGTGGTTTCTGGATCTTTCTAATTCACAGATATAATGCCATCACTCTTCTGCCTAGAATTCTTCAGTAGCTTTGGCACTACAGGATCATTTTAAGGATGGCAGCTATGACCCCATGACTGAACTCTCGTCCACCTCTCTAGCCTCAACCACCCTTGCTCTTCAGCTCCACCCACCCTTATCCTTCACTCTCCAGCCAAACCAAAGTGGTCCCGGCATTCCCAGCTTCCTTTATAACCTCATCCCTTTGCTCCACACACTGCCTCTGCTGGCAGTGCCTGCCTGCCACATCTCCCCTGCCAACTCCTACCCTACAGCCATCTTATCTGAGCTCCCGGAGTCACTGGCTTCAGAAAGCTTTCCCTGACACTCTCCCTGCCCCTTCAGCAAAATGCTTCTCCACCCACCCAGCCACTTGGACATTGCTCTTCCCTTCCCCTTAACACATTGTATTAAAATAAGCTGTTTACCTGTTTAGGGAGCTCCTGGGTGGTACAGTCAATATACTTGGCTGCTAACTGAAAGGTTGGATGTTTGAGTCCACCCAGAGGGACCTTGGAAGAAAAGCCTGGCAATCTATTTCCAAAAAAATCAGCCACTGAAAACCCTACGGAACGCAGTTCTACTCTGACACACGTAGGGGCACCATGAGTCAGAGTCGACTGCACAGCTACTGGTCTGGTGTTTTACTTGTTTACCTGTCTTTTTACTGCGGGCCAAAGATCATGTTTTTTTAACCTGGGTCCCCAGTGCCTTGCTCAGATGCTGAATCCAGAGGGCTGAACCCCTCTGATCAGCATTTCTGAGCTCTGGGCCTTGAAGGTTTTGGAAAGGAAAAAACACAAACATACACAGGTGCCAGGAGCAGGGGCGGGTTCCTTCCCTAACCTCAGGCACTGCGACCACAGCAGCTAACGACTATAGATGCAGCTAACGACTATAGATGGTACCCTCAAGTCTCCGTCCCTGCCGTTTCCTTGTGTCTGAATAAATATCAGGTCCTTTGTCCACAATAAAAGGCAGACCCCTTTGGTCCTTTCATTGGGCTAGACAAAGTTGGTTAAAGGGTTTAATCTTTATTGGACACTCTATTTGACAAGAACTTCAAGTAAGATATCTCATGTAATCCTGCAAGTTGGTACTATTATTCCCATTTTCCATAACAGGAAATTGAGGCTTAGAGAATTTCCTCTCGGACTTTATCCTGAACATGAATCACCTGGGAATCTTGTTAAAATGCAGATTCTGATTCAGCAGTTCTGGGGTCGGGCCTGAGATTCTGCATTTCTAACAGGCTCCTACTGATGCTGATGCTGTAGTCCATGGACCACACTTTGAGTAGCAAGGACTCACAGAGCTGAGAGGAGGTTGCCTGCCTTCTCGTCGTACAATCTCTAGAGCAGCAGCATCTAACAGAATTCTGTGGCAATGCAAATGTTCCATAATCTGCACTGTCCAATGTGGTAGCCTCATGCGACCATGAAGCCCTTGAAATGTAGCTAGTGCAACTCAGGGACTGAATTTTAAATTCTATTTCATTTAAATTTAAATAGCCACATGTGGCTAAAAAACAAACAAACAAACCCACTGCCTTGAGTCAATTCTGGCTCATGGTGACCCCATGTGCTGCATAGTAGAACCACTTCGTAGGGTTTTCCTGGCTGTAATCTTTACGGAAGCACATCACCAGCACTTTCTTCCACGCTAGGTGGGTTCTAACCAACAACCTTTAGGTTAGCGCCACCCAGGGACCTTCACATGTGACCAGTGGCTACAATATAGGGGCAGTGAAGCTCTAGACAAAGCTGAGGATGGGGGAGGGTTGTAGTAGCGGGTTGCAGGGGCTGAAGGACCAGCCCTTCCCCTACAGTAGTCCAGGGTGGACATAGTCAGAAGCTCGGAGCTGGGCTAGGCATCATCCCAGGTGCAGGGGCCATCTTGAGCTTCCAGCTTCCAGCTAGCAGCTGGGACAGGGCTGGGGGGCTGAAGCTGTCCATCTGGGCAATGGAAAAGGAGAAACGGTGTTTTACAGCATGTTGTACCTCCATGAAGCAACCTCCCTCCCCTGAGTGGTGCTTGGAGGAAGACTGAGGAGCAGAGGGAACAAGGATGCGGTGGAGTCATTGTCAGAGTAAGCTGAGGCTGTGGGCAGGCCAGTCACTAAGCACTAACTATGTGCCAGATCCTGTTGCCAGCACAGCACATGTTGATTCATTTTTATCTCTACAACAACCCCATTCCCCTTTGTACAGGTAATATGGCACAGAGAGATGAAGAGGCTTGCCTGAGGTCACACAGCTAGTGAGTGGCAGAGCTAGGACTCAAAGCTTGGAAGTCTGGCTCCAGAGCATGCACTCTTGACTATATGCTAAACTCAGCAATGGGGTGGTCTGTCTGGCTTAGAAATTATCGCACTAAGAAGTGTCTAGGTCCTTCATCTGGGTTCCCAGGACTCTTACACCATTTGCTCTGATGAGATGGCAGATCCTCATGGAGTCCACTTGCCAGGGATGAAGCCATTGCCACCATCATTAGGGCAAGACGCCAGAGAGCCCGAGTTGGGGAGAGAGCAGGGTAGGGGCCAGAAGAGCCCCCTTCCCCTTCTTCTCTGCTGCATTGGCCCCTTGTTCTGTTAGACTCCAGTTCACTCCAGCCTCATTCCACTATCTCCAAGTTGCAAAGAGGGTCCCAGAGAAGAAAGGCAGAGGGCCAGGTAAGGAAGGTTGTATCTACTGGGGGAGAAGATCTCCTTTCACTCCAACAGGGCACCACTGGACATGGGCAGGTCAGAGAGAGGTTCCCTCCCCGGGCCTTTTTGCAGCCCCCATCAAGAGTACTCAGGCAGCTGCTGGTCCTTTAAATGGGGCCAGATCCCACTGGGCACTCTTAAAACTCACTTCATTCCTGAATTAAGTCCCTGACATCCCATATCTGTATGATCAATATGTTTGTTTATTAGCAGCAGCTGCTGTGTTTTAGCGAAGGCGGTGGGCCCCAGTGAGAGAGCCGCTCGGTGACCACAGCGCAGGGCCTGGGATGGGGGAAGAAAGGCCTCCTGCTGGCAGATGGGAGCTGGGGCTGGATAGGGTTTCATGGTAATGGTCCTTTAATTGAAATCACTGGTTCAGTAGGACTGTTCGGTAGGGAGCTGTGCTGATGGCTCCTGGCTCGGTCCCTCCTTCAAGAGGTCCATTAACTGGTGGATGTGCGCACAGCTGCGGGGCTAAGAGATCGGTGGGGGGAGTCCTGGGTAGCCCATTGTCAGCACAGCTGCTGAGGAGTGTGCTGAGGGGAGGGGGACTCGGGAGTTGGCTGCTCTTGGGATGTTAAGACCTGTCGACTTGGCCTCTCTGGCCTGGTCCCAAACCTGAGCTCAGCCCCTTGTCCCCACCCTGGGATCAGTTTGCCTCCGTGACTCAGGAACCTCATTCCTAGGCTGAGTTACGTTTTTCCAGACAGAGTCGTCATTTTCCAGTTCCAATATCTCCTCTGCATTGATGATTCAGGATCCCAGCCTCTCATCCATTTAGGGGTGCTGAGAGTCCAGGGAGCAAAATCCCTATTTCATCCATTCATGCATTTAAGGGGCAACTTCTCTATGTGAAGAATCATGGTAGGTGCTGGGAACACAAAGATAAAAGAATGTTGTCTTGCCCTGGGAGGATTTACAGTCTTGTGGGGATAAAAGCCTGCAACCATTGATAATATACCTTAGATAATATCTCCTGATAAGCAGAGATTTTAAAAGTCCCCAAGGACTGACTGACTCAGCCACTACTTACCCAATGTTTGAATACACTCTCCAGCATTTCTGCTAAATTGCCTCAGCTTTTGTCTGAACAAATCCATGGATGAGACTCAGCGTTCTGCCCAGTACAGCCCATTCTCTATCTGCACAGCTCTGATAGGTTAAAAAATCTTCCTTAAAGGGAACAAAATCTGTAGACCAGTATTTTCCATTCCTCAGCCCTGCTTCTTCCCCTTGAGGACCCTCAGAACAGTCCAGCCCCCTTTTCAGACATTCCTTCAGGCATTGCATGATAGAATCCTACAGGACAATCTACAGCCCTTGGGTTAAACCTGGCCCTCCACTTGTTTTGGTAAATAAAGTTTTGTTGAAACACAACCATGCCCATTCATTTATATATTGTCCATGGCTATTTTCACAATTCAAAAGCAGAGTTGAGTAGTTGTTACAGAGACCATATGGTCCACAAAACCTAAAATACTTACTGTCCGGCCTTTTACAGAAAAACTTGCCAATTCCAGCTGTAGACCATAACTTCCTCAGCCCTCTGCCGAACAAATCATCTCTCTCTAGTCATCACCACAGGGCATGGTTTTGACTCTTTCCCCTTGACTATCCTGATCCCTCTCCTCTTAACAGCTCCCATTAATTTATGTTCCTTTTTTAAAGAGTGACCCCAGAGCTGTGTTCCTGCTGGGGCTGAATAAGACTCGTCCCCTTACTTTTTTTCTTAATACCAAGCCCCTCTTTCTGCAGAGGACAATTGCATTTGCTTCCTCATGATCGATAGTCACTGCTGATTTACACGATACACCCTGTTGACAGGAAAATCATACTACCATTATAGCCAACATGTACTGAGTACTCACTATTTACCAGGCCCAGGATTAATATTTTATATCATTGCTTTGGTTGTTTCCCTCCAACTACTCTTGGCAGTTTGAAACTACCCAGTGGCTCTGTGGGAGAAAGACCTGGTGATTGCAACCTAGAAAACCCTGTGAGGCAGATTAACTCTGTGTCATGGGATTGCTATGAGTTGGAATGGACTTGAAGGCACCCAACGACAACAAACCTAGAAGGTATGAGGCATTGGTGGTTCAACGGTAGAATTCTTACCTCCCATGCAGGAGACCCAAGTTCAATTCCTGGCCAGTGCATCTCATGCACAGCCACCACCCATCTGTCAGTGGAGGCTTGTGTGTTATTGTGATGCTGAACAGGTTTCAGTGGAGCTTCCAGACTAAGACAGACTAGGAAGAAAGACTTGGGATCTACTTCTGAAAATTAGTCAATGAAAACCCTATAGATCACAATGGAACACCATCCAATCTGCAACCTATCCTGGAGATGGTGCAGGACTGAGCAGGGTTTTGTTCCACTGTGCATGGGTCACCATGAGCTGGGGCCCACTTGATGGCAGCCAACAGCAACACCCTATAAGGTAGAGTCTATCATTCTCTCCATTTTGTAAATAAAGAGATTGGCGGCTCAGAAAAGTTAATACCCAAGATCACAGTTCACATATGACAAGGCTGGATTTCAAACTGAGGTCTGTCTGCCTACCAAACCCCTCTTATAACTGCTGCTTTCACCTTGTCAGGTGCTGGGATTTTTGTTGGGGTACATTTGGTTATGGTTCCCAGATAAGTGAATCTTGACTTTAATGTCACAATTTGGTTCGCTTGCATTCATTCATTCATTCATTCAATTATTCAACACATGACTTATTGAGCAATTACATGTGCCAGGCCTTGTTATAGGTGCCAGGATAATAACAGGGAATAAAATAGACAAAACTCTCTGCCCTCATGGAGCGTATCTTCCAGTGGGGTGGGCAAGGCGGGAAGAGACATAAATAAAGCAAATAAGAAAAAATATCAGAAGGTGGCAAATGCTGTGAAAAATAAATCAATAAATAAAGCAGGGAAGGAATACCTTGCAGGCATGGGCATAGTTGCAATTTTAAGTAGAAAGGTCAGATAGAATAGCCTTGCTGGGAAGGTAGCCTGTAGCAGGTGAAGGATTGAGTCATGTTAGCACCTGGAGAAAGAGCCTTCCAGGCAGAGAAAGAGCAAGTGCAAAGATCCTGAGGCAGCAGCATGGCTGGAGTGGAGGGAGGGACCAAGAGAAGAGTAGTAGGAGCTGAAGTAAGAGAAGTTACAAAAGGCCAGACTGTAGGGTTTACAGCATTGGTAAGCCTTTTAATATGCACTCTGAATGAGAAGAGAAGCCAATGGGGATATCCAAGCAGAGGAGGAACATCATCTGACTTATGCTCTAAATGGCTCCCTCTGGCTGCTGAGTTTAGAATCGACTTCAGGGGACAAGGGTGGAAGCAGGCAAAGCCACTGGAAACCTATTGAAATAATACAGGAGAGAGATGATGGTGACTGAGACCACGGTCACAGCAGCACAGGTGGGGAGAAGTGCCTGGGTTCCAGATATATTTGGAAGGTAAAGCCAGTAGGGTTTCCTCATGGATATAAAATGTGGCTTGTGAGAAAAAGGGAGGAGTCAAAGATATCACCAAGGTTTTAACTGAGATGGGAGAAGACTGTGAAGAGCAGGTCTGCGCAAGGGGGGTGATCAGGAGTTCAGTTTGCAGACATTAAATCTGAGGTGCCTGTTAGGCATCAAAGGGGAGGTGCCAAGTACAGTTGGCTATAAGAGACTGAAGCACAAGGAGGATCTTTTTGTTCATTCAGCCCTTCATTTATTCACAACCGTTTACTGAGTGCCTACTCTGGTTCAGCAAGTTGCAAAGGCATCAAAATGTTTCTGGAGGAAAAAAAAAACTCGCACTTGAATTTAGATCAATACTAAATGGCACCTCGTACTATCTTAGACTGTTAACAACTATGTCTGCTTCAGATGCAGCACCAGCACCCCCTACACACACACACACACACACACACACACACACACACACACACACACACACACATCACAGAATGATGAAGACTCCATGGAGGAAATTCTGGAAGAAGAGAAAGCAGAGAGAGGAGGCAGATGCATCCCATACTGATGCAGGGGGACTCCCTTTTGGAGCTCACGGCTTCTACCCTCCTGTGCCCCTGACACTTAGCTACTGCACCGCTCCTGAAAACACTTCCCACCCACCTCAACATCTGCCTCTCTCCTCGCTCATCCTGGCTACCCTTCCCTCTAAAATAAATGGCCCAGCAGGCACCGCTGACTGAGGGCTGTAGATGGCCTCGTTCTAGGACTGCAGGGAGGGAAGATCCATGGTCCTAGATAACATCTTTTTTTTTCTCTCTCTCTTTCTCTCTAGCTTGATTATAGCTTCTGACAGCAAGGCCTCAGCTTGTACAGAAATCTCCGCTCTGAACTCACTTGGCACAAAGGTTCCAGCCAGCCAGACCTGGGAAGGCTTTTCCCTCGGACTTCGGCTGGAAGATGGAGACTTTTTAATTAGAAGTTGTTATTAATGGGAAATGCTGCAAATTAAAACCAGGCCTCCTCCCTCTCCCTCCTTGCTTCCCCACTATATTTATCTCTGATCTCAATTAGAGAGTTCAGGGACTTGCTGCGGAATAGAATCTGTGGAGATGCAAGCTTCTGGAGACATCTGCAGGAGAGTGAAGACACGGAGTGAAGGGTGGGGGCTGGGGACTGCAAGGGCTGTGGAGGGGTAGCCCAGACAGGGCAGGGGAGCAGGAAGACCCAGGACCCCACCTGGACCCCAGCCTCCGAAATGTGTCCTAGAACTGCCTCAGGAAAGGCCTCTTCAGCTTTTTCTGTCTCTAACACAGGGGACAAATGTCTCCACTCTTTAGAGAGAGAATAGCTAGTCACTAACACACAAGTGGCAAAAATGGTTAAGTGCTGGACGTCTAGCTGAAAGGTTGATGATTTGAATGCTCTCAGAGGCACCTCGAAAGAAAAGTCTGGCAGTCTGCTTCCAAAAGGACACAGCCTTGAAAACCCTATGGAGCAGTTCTACTGTGCACACATGGGGTCACCATGAGTAGACATCAACAGGCAACTTACCACAGCACACAGATGAGGCATCAGATGTGGCTGCACTCGGACAGGGAGACTTAGTGAGTCAGACCTTCCGTTCGGTTTGGTTTTTAAATTTTCCAACATTTTCAAATGGAAAATGACCTTATTTTTCCCCAATTGTAAACATAATGCTTACTCAATATTTTAAAAACTCACACATTACAGATATGGATGAAGTAGAAAAGAATAAAGCAAAAATCATTTGAAATCTCACCACCTGAAGATCTCCGCTGTTAATAGTCTTGGTGAACATTTCACTAACTATCCATCTCTGTCTCCCTCTTTCACAATTTTCTATCTTTGGGATAATGTTACATATATAAAATGTCCTCGGGCACGCTTTCCTTCAACAAAATATATTGTGAGATATCTTTCTATATCAATCAACATAAATCTATGTCACATTTTTTAATGGCTACAGGGTATTCCATTACATGGATGTTTTGTAATTTATTTAACCGGGACCACCTTGGTGGCCATTCAGGTTGTTTCAGAGTCCACTCTTACAAACAGTGCTTGCCTTCTGTTTAATAGAGCTGAGCTGGACAGACTGGCACCCCAAACTCCAGATCCAGCAGACAGGACTGGGCCACCGGACTTCCCAGGGTCCAACAGCACCACCTATGGGCTGGACGACTCCAAGGAGCAGCGGCATTTTCTCTGCGACTTCTTTGTCTACTCAGAGTTGGAAACTATAATTGTAGGGCTTCCAAACAAAACCAAACCCACTGCCACCGAGTTGATTCCAATCCATAGCCACTTCATAGGGTTTCCAAGGCTGTAAATCTTTACAGAAGTAGACTGCCACATCTTTCTCCTGCAGAGTGGCTGGTGGGTCCCAACCATCAACCTTTTGGTTAGCAGCCAAACGCTTTAACCACTGCACCATCAGGGCTCCTTTGTGGGGCCTTCAATCTCTAAGATTCTGCCTAGTTAGTGGCTGAGAGCTGTGGAAAGTTGTATGGTCAAAAGATTTAGAGAAGCAATCAAACCTCCCTTCAAGGGTTAAGCGCTTAGGGGAGCCTTCAGATGGACAAGCTTGGCACACTCAGTACGGTTAGCAATTTATAAATGATATCTACATAAGTATTATTTCATGATTCTATCTAGTCATGAGATAATATTTGTATAGAGAACCCATCTTCAGTGTCCTGTAGTTAAGAATTCTACTAAGTATATAAGAGCCTTGCCATGGAGGAAGCATGATCATGATAATCCAATTTCACCAAAAAAAGGAATGAGCTTTGGAGCCCAACAGACCAGGAGCAAACGCTGATGCCTCCACGTCCCAGCTGTATGACATTGAATCTAACTCCCCTCATTTGAAAATAGTAGGAACAATACCTCCCTTGCAGGTTTGTTTGGGAATTAGAAATAATGTCTTCAGATGCCCAGACATAGTAAGTGCAGTGGTAGCTTTAATAATAATAATAATTATTATTAATAGCAAATTATTAACAACTTTCTATAATGCCTCTGCTGACCTTACAGGGAATTTGTATAAGACATGGTCCCTGCCCTCAAGGCAGGCACGAGTCTATCTGAAAGCAAGCCCTTAAGAGACTCACAGAGGGCTGAGGAGATGAGGGAATTCATGGAGGAGGTGGCACAAAGGATAGAATGAAAGGAACATACAACACCTAGAGAGACATTCAAGACTTTAGGTGGGAAGGAACCTAAAGGTCCTGAGGTCCAATCCCCTGTTCCCATACTTAAATCAAAGCTCAGTCACATGGGTGTGGTCTGCTTGCCTCCCTCCAGGGATGAGTCATGGCCATGCTCAGGAAGCAGTGCATTCCCTCTGCCGACAGCACAGCATTAGAAAATTCTCGTGCTCGAAGTCAAGGAAGCTCTGGGGCTGGCCTTCTGGGCTGTCAGGGTGATTAAATGCAGACCACTGAGAGGAAGAGAGATTGCAAGTACAATACAGGGGAAGCGTCCATGGCCTTGGGTGGCTTTGGTTTTCATCTGGCAAGCGCAAAAAGCCTAGCCTGATGACCAGATGAGCTCCTGGCTACACTGGTCTGTGCCCCACCTTTGATACACGTGTTATACACAGCCTGTGTTTCTAACCAGGCTGAGAGCCAACTACTGCTGAGGATCTCCGAGTACATCCATGGGAGCCAGTGTG